TAAATTTTTGAGAAGAAAAGAGCTGGGAAAGAGAAACTGAGGAAGAGTAGAGAGTGAAATGAGAGGAAAATCACAAATCCGTGGGTAGTCCTGGGAATCAAGTGAAGAAAGGCACTCAAAGATGATTTCTTAAGTTTCCAGATATAATCCTTGCTGTCGTTCAGTTGCTAAGTCATGTCTGACTCTTTGCGATCCCATGGATATAGCCTACCAGGCTCCTCTGTCCATGGGATTCTCCAGGCAAGAATACTGGAAGGGGTTGCTATTTCCTTCTCCAGGGGATCTTCCTGACCCAGGGACTGAACCCACATCTTCTGCATTGCAGGCAGATTCTTTAACACAGAGCTGCCCGGGGAAGCCCAGAAGTAATCCACCAGATCAAACAGTGCTGAGGATTGTTTGGCTTAGTCTTGGTTCCCTGTACTTATTTCTCTTTTAACACTTAAACACATAGATGCATAACTTCATTTTAAAAACATACTTATACTTAATAGATGAAATATAAACTCCCATATGTCTGAAATGCCTTCCTATTTATGAGAAAGGATAATAATGGAACACACCCTTCCTGTCAACCCTCTTTATAATACATCTGCCTTTTTACACACTTGGCTTTTTTTCTTTTGAGTTTTTTTATGGACTCATGGCCCTTTATTAATTATGTATTTTATTAACTAGAATATTGTGATTACTATATGATGCTCAAATTGTTAAAGCTGGCCAGTGTTATCCCACTTAACCTGGCTCCTTTGTTCTTTTCGAATTGCCTCTGATACTCTTGAAAACTTTCCTGCTCTCTGACAACAGTAGCACATTTCAGTGACATTCCAATTCTTTCTTGCCTTTGAAAATTGAAGTCGGCTATTCCATTAGGAATTCTTTTCCATTCACAGAGAATGATAATAGAGACTAAAAGTTCTGTAAACATATGGATGGGGGGCAGTGGGCAAATTTGCTGAGGTTGCTTTATGCCACCATTAGTAATGGGAGAATATAAAAAAATTCAGTTTATAGTATGGGTTCCCATTGATCTTTTTTTCCTTTTAGCATATTATGTTGCTCTATGATAATTATCTTACCATATTTACTTCCTACCACAATGAAAATCCCATTTACAAATGGACTTTCTTTTTTTCTTTTAAGGATTTTTAGAGATCAGATGACTATTTATATTTACTTTTGACCATGCCGAGTGGCATATGGGATCTTAGTTCCCCAACCAGGGATAGAACCCATGCTCCCTGCAGTGGAAGTGCAGATCCCCAGCCACTGGACCACCAGGGATGTCCCCTTGTCATTCTTAGTTTAGCTTAGTGAAGTTACCTACATCCCAGGACAGAGCAGCAAACAGTGGACAGTATTAGGTCATCTCACCCAGGGCAGCATCTATGGAGCACCTACTATATGCCATGAGGTGCACAGTCTTTGAAGTTGCAGAGGTCAGGAACACACACCTTTCTATTTCATTTCAACCTACGCCTTTCTTTCCCTCGCTACTGAGAAAAACACTTTGCTTGAACAAAGCAGATAAACATGAAAAGTAGCAGAAATTCAGCCCACTTGCCCTAACTAAAAATACCCTATTTCTGCCACCTTTAGCCTCTGCTGGATTGGGTCTGCCTATCCAGTGGGGTTATATACTATTCCCATCCCAACCTGTCTTCTGTCCTATAGCTTTTCTTTGCTGTATGAGATTACAGATGCTTTAAAACAAAAATATTTTTGAAACATAACAAGTCCCCTTTCTTCACCTCTAGTGACTTTTCTGAAGATTTTCTTCCCCCATCTCTTGGCTCTGGATGAATGGAAAAGATAGAAAGGATTCGTATTTCTCAATATACCAATAGTAATTACAAAGTATGGATTCTTGAGTCCCATGCCAACCTTCTAAATTAGAATTTCTAGAGATAGAATGTAGGAATCTGAATTTTTAGCAAATTTCTCCATTCATTCATAAGATTTAAGTACCGTTGGCTATGACTTCCGTATTCTCAAGTCTTTGTGCTCAGAGAAAAGGATGTAGTCACTTTACTGTGCTTGTGCTAGCATGGGGCTCATGCTGAGGAAGTTAATTACATAGACACGGAAAGCTATGCAGAAAGGACATGAGAGAGAAGTGCAAATGATGCATGTTGGAGAGATATTTCTTATCCATAGCGCTGCTTACAGATGGTGGAAAAATAAAAACATAAAAGAGAGGTTCTATTCATTGTAGCACAATAATAATTTCAGAAATCGTTAAGAATTATGTTAGAATAACATTGCTGTAAGCCACATCAGACCAGAAGATTAAAACATGCATGCTTAATCTTAATAGTTTGTTGTTTGTATTGCTTTTCTATTTGAAATACCAAAATAATGAGAGAAAATGGTGATTACTAAACTTTGCATTACCTATAAGTTCTCTCATATCAGTGTTATTTCAATAGCTCTCAGATAGAGTACAATACATGCAAAAGAGATAATTTGGGAATTTAGCTACTAAACTGCATTTTATCTGAGCTGCATTATTTTATCGATTTAAAGTCATAGCAAGTAAATTGAATACACCACTGAGAAGTTTTATGTGTTTTTTCTGAATATAAAATATGTAGAAACACTTAAGGAGACAATCATTTTTTTAAGTAAATGTACTCAACTTCAAAATGAAATCTATAAAATGGGGTCATAATTCCTTTGAGCAAATGTTAATAGTTATTATTGAAATGTTATACCATTAATATAGTGTTATTAGTATAATAATTAGTATACCAATTATACGAATTAATAAATAAAAATTTATTATTATTCATAATAAAATCAATAATTTATTAAATAAATAACTTCACTTCAGTTCAGTTCAATCACTCAGTCGTGTCCAACTCTTTGCGACCCCATGAATCTCAGCACNATACTAACTATAAGTGATTAGTATGTATAATTTAATATATAAATAATAATATAAATACTAATATAATGCATTGGTTATATAAACTATAATACAAGATATAATATATGTAAATAAATACAATTAAATACAAAGTAGGAAAATAGTGTGGCAATTTTAAGATGCATTTTTTTTTAAATATCAAGTAAATATATAAATTAAATGCTGAGTAAAAATACATACAACTTTTTCAGAGGTGTAATTACCCATTACTTAGGAGGCATACACAATGAAATGAATAAATTGGTAAAAACATAACAGATGGACTTGAAATAACTTCATGCCCTTTATATATTTACATATATTTGTAGGTCACTTGGATTCTAATATTTGAAGTACCATGTTAAACTAGGTACTTTGTGACCACAGAGAATTGAATGACTAGTTCTGCTATATTGCAATTATTGGACTTTTCACTTCATTGTGAATATGGCTCAGTTGGCTTAATACCAGTTTTCCAGTGCTAATTTCTTGGCATGAAGATGTTGCCGACAAACAGCACATCGAGGAATTTCTGTACGCTTTCAAATTCTAATACAATCTCCAATTTAATCTGCCTATAATACAAATGCCATCCTTTACCAGTACATTATCAGTAGTCACCATTGTGTATGAAAAATTATGAGTTCATTATGTGTGGAAACTGCTCAAGTTCACGTATTACCTTGTAAATACAGCAGGTTTTATTGCTTATGTGACCTCTGGGAATTCAGCAATCCCCTCAACAGGAGGTGCTGCTGAACCTCCTTTCACTGTTACCATAGCTACTGTGGTTGCTGGAAGAAGCCCTGGACCAAGAGGCGTCTCCACACTGGAATGTGATCTATAGCAGTGGTTCTCAAACCTTACCATCAACACAGAGATTTAATTTAAAAATGAATATTTAAAAATGCCTCTCTCCATCCCAGACTCATTAAATCAGAGATAGGGAAGGGAGATCAGTGTTATTTAAAAGTGTAATAGGTGATTCTAATGGGAAACATAAATTGAAAACCACAATCTAGTTCAATTTAGTCACTCAGTCGTGTCCAAGTCTTTGTGACCCCATGGACAGCAGCATGCCAGGCTTCCCTGTCCATCACCAACCCAGAGTTTCAAACTCATGTCCATCGAGTCGATGATGCCATTCAACCATCTCATCCTCTGTCATCACTTTTCCCCCTGCCTTCGATCTTTCCCAGCATCACAGTCTTTTCCAAGGAGTTAGTTCTTTGCATCAGGTGGCCAGAGTATTAGAGCTTCAGCTTCAGCCTCCGTCTTTCCAATGAATATTCAGGGTTGATTTCCTTTAGGATTGAGGGGTTTGATCTCCTTGCAGTCCAAGGGACTCTCAAGAGTCTTCTCCAACACCACAGTTCAAAAGCATCACTCAGATGCATTTCTTCAGCACTCTTTATGGTCCAAATCTCACATCCATACATGATTACTAGAAAAACCATACCTTTGACTACAGTGATGTTTTTCGGTAATGTCTCTGCTTTTTAATATGCTGTCTAGGTTGGTCATAGCTTTTCTTCCAAGGAGCAAGCCTCTTTTAATTTCATTACTGCAGTCACCGTCTGCAGTGATTTTGGAGCCCCCAAAAATAAAGTCTCTCATTGTTTCCATTGTTTCTCCATACATTTGCTGTGAAATGATGGGACCGGATGCCATAATCTTAGCTTTTTGAATGTTGAGTTTTAAGCCAGCTTTTGTACTCTTATTTCACTTTCATCAAGAGACTCTTCAGTTCCTCTTCACCTTCTGCCATAAGGGTGGTGTCATCTGAATATCTGAGGTTATTGATATTTCTCCCGGCAATCTTGATTCCAGCTTGTGCTTCATCCAGCCCAGCATTTCACATGATGTACTCTGCATATAAGTTAAATAAGCAGGGTGACAATATACAGCCTTGATGTACTCCTTCCCCAATTTGGAAATTAAAGGAAATATTTTTAAAGTAGAATTCCTCAGTGAAGTGCAAGATTGCCTGAGGATAGGAACAAGTGGTTCTGAAATATCTACTGTGAATTTCTCTAGAGTGTAACTGTGGTGGATGGGAAATTTCTTATTCTTTCATTTTCATAATCTTTAGGAGAAATTTAGAGCCATCTAAGTGGAAAGCGGTGCTAGGCCTGCATATGGCATCAAATCTGACTTCTCCTCAAATAGAAACTAGATTGATTGACCAAATTGTCATAAATCCACACTACAATAAACGGAGAAAGGACAGTGACATCGCCATGATGCATCTTGAATTGAAAGTGAATTACACAGGTAAGCGAAATCAACTTTAGTCTTCTTATTTGACCAAATTAATTCAAAGTTAGATTTGAAATATTATCAGTACCAGTGTATTAATAGTCCATAAACATTAGATAATTTGTTATAGAAATCATTATAATTTACATGGAATTGAGGAATAGAGAGAAACATATTAAATTACCTTCATCAAGGTGCTTAAATCCAGCTTTCTGGAAAACTGACCAGTAAAATAAAACTCTCAGAGCCCTGGTATAACAGTCAACTCCTAAAAGCAACCCAGAGAAAATAAGTCATGCTCTAGTACATGCCACCTGTCTTTCTCATGGAAAAGAAAGGTAGGTCCACCTGCTACAAAGTCTGGAATAGAAAAACGTGAGAGACGACCATGTGTTCAAAGAGCAAAGTGAGTGAGAATGACTATCCGTGTGTGTGTGTCTGTGCTGAGTTGTGTCCAACTCTTTGTGACCCCGTGGACTGTAGCTGACCAGGCTCCTGTGTCCATGGAATTTTCCAGGCAAGAGTACTGGATTATGTTGCCATTTCCTCCTCCAGGGGATTTTCCTGACTCAGGAGTCAAACCCATGTCTCTTGTGTCTCTTGCTCTGGCAGGGAGAGTCTTTACCACCCTGCCACCATTCATAAAGAGAGTCAGTAATGTTAATGAAATGGCAGATGGAGGGCTTCCTCCAAATATGCAAATGAGGTACAAGAAATCGCCTGGGAGAGCAAACCGTATCCTGAAAGTCTCTGCTCAGCTCCAACCTTCACTCTAAAGACTTTCCAGTCCCCAGTCAGGAGAAAGTGTTGGCATTCCTGTGCTTCCAAGACTTTGGTGTCCATGTGTAGGAGTGTGTGTTCATTGCTTAGTTGTATGTATCTCTTTGTGACTCCATGCACTTTAGCCTGCAGGCTCCTCTGTCCATGGGATTCTCCAGGCAAGAATACTGGAGTGGGTTGCCATTTCCTTCTCCAGGGGATCTTCCCCACGGGTCTCCTGTATTACAGTGGACTCTTTACCATCTGAGCCAGCAGGGAAGCCCCTGCATGTAGGAGAGCACTTCTCAAAGGCACATGCTTGCTGCAGTTGGTTGTATTCGCCTATCCTTTTGTTTACTTTTGTGTCTGCCCTGTGATTTACATGTCTTGGGTGCTGAATTAATGTTAGGAGGCTTGCAAATTGTTGGAGAAGGACTTAAAAAGTCAGCAACCTATGCTAATGCCTCTATTAAGTACCCTGTAAAACAATTGCCTAAAACCCTTTTTAATGTGGGGATAATTGGGGGAAAGAAAAAATCCCCACAGAACATTTGCCCAAATTTCTCTTAATTAACCCTGAAAAAACAGCCTTACCAAGATTTTCACAGAACTGGCACCACATTCTATTAAGTACCATGATGAAAAGTCTAATGTATGTGACTGATTTCAGAACTAGGATGTGTACATTACAGCAAAGTAATTGAGACAATGTGGAGAGTCCCAAAGGGCCACCAGTGGTACCTAATCCACTTTCAAAGAAGTGCTGCTCTGCAGTGCTTTCCCTTCAGACTGATGTCTAAAACACGTCCAGGCAGGATAAAATGAAAGCACAAGTTTTTTTTTTAGATGAAATGTTGAAAAAGATTGATTTTTAAAACTTTTGGAAATGCATGTGTGTTTGTTCTTGTTTTGTTTTCTTTCATATTTCCAGATTATATACAGCCTATTTGTTTACCAGAAGAAAATCAAGTTTTTTCCCCAGGAAAAATTTGTTCTATTGCTGGCTGGGGGACACTTGCATATCAAGGTAAATTGTCAGACTCAAAAGAAAATATTAAAAGCTTGCTAGTACGCTACCCCGTGACTATTTTTAAAAAGACTCATATTATAACACTTTTCTGCAATGTCTCTTAAAAGTGCCGTCAGACTTATATTCATATGTTCTGTATTTGTATAGTTAAAAATTTTATTTCCAAATTACATGTGCCATATTATAAAACTATAATTATTATAGGAGGGAAATCCAAGCATCCCCCAAGCTCAATATCTAATGTTAATATTAATATTATAAACTATCTGATGAAAAGATATACTCACTGAAGTGCATACAGCCAAAGCATATAGACGACGTCTCATCAGAAGCCAAATTATTTTCTTTTTATGTTTTTTATTGAAGGATAACTGCTTTACAGAATTTTGTTGTTTTCTGTCAAACCTCAACATGAATCAGCCATAGGCATACATATATCCCGGCCCTTTTGAACCTCCCTCCCATCTCCCTCCCCATCCCACCCCTCTAGGTTGTTACAGAGCCCCTGTCTGAGTTCCCTGAACCACACAGCAAATCCCTACTGACTATTTTACGCATGTTAATGTAAGTCTCCATGTTACTCTATCCAGACATCTCACCCTCTCCTCCCCTCTCCCCATGGCCATAAGTCTATTCTCTATGTCTGTTTCTCCATTGCTGCCCATAAATAAGTTCTTCAGTACCATTCCTCTAGACTCCATATATATGTGTTAGAATACAGTATTTATCTTTCTCTTTCTGACTCACTTCACTCTGTGTAATAGGTTCTAGGTTTATCCATCTCATCAGAATTGACTCAAATGCATTCCTTTTTATGGCTGAGTAATACTCCATTGTGTATATGTACCACAACTTCTTTATCCATTCATCTGTTGATGGACATCTAGGTTGCTCCATGCTCTAGCTATTGTAAATAGTGCTGCAGTGAACGATGGGATACATGTGTCTCTTTCAATTTTGGTTTCCTCGGGGTATATGCCTAAGAGTGGGATTGCTGGGTCATATGGTGGTTTTATTCCTAGTCTTTTAAGGAATCTCCATACCATCTTCCGTAGTGGCTGTATCAATTTATATTCCCCCCAACAGTGCCAGAGTGTTCCCTTTTCTCCACACCCTCTCCAGCTGTTTGTAGACTTTTTGATGATGGCCATTCTGACAGGTGTCAGGTGATATCCCATTGTGGTTTTGATTTGTATTTCTGTAATAATGAGCGATGTTGATTATCTTTCCATGTGTTTGTTAGCCATCTGTATGTCTTCTTTGGAATAATGTCTGGTTAGGTCTTTTTCCCACTTTTTGATTGGGTTGTTTGTTTTTCTGGCATTGAGCTGCTTGTATATTTTGGACATGAATCCTTTTGTCAGTTGTTTCATTTGCTATTATTTTCTCCCATTCTGAGAGTTGTCTTTTGACCTTGCTTACAGTTTCCTTTGCTGTGCAAAAGCTTTTAAGTTTATTCAGGTCCCACTTGTTTACTTTTGTTTTCATTTCCATTACTCTAGGAGGGGGGTCATAGAGGATCTTGCTTTGATTTATGTCATCATGTTCTGCCTATGTTTTCCTCTAAGAGTTTTATAGTTTCTGGTATTACATTTAGGTCTTTAATCCATTTTGAGTTTATCTTTGTGTATGGTGTTAGGAAGTGTTCTAATTTCATTTTTTTTTTACATGTAGCTGTCCAGTTTTCCCAGCACCTTTTATTGAAGATGCTGTCATTGCCCAATTGTATTCTTGCCTCCTTTGTCAAAAATAAGGTTATTTCTGGGCTTTCTATCTTGAGAAGCCAAATTATTAACTCCTACTTTTCCCAAAGCAATGAAAGTATTTGTATTAATCATATAAATTGTATGATTTATATTATATAAAATATCATATAAATGTTTACATGATAAATCATATAAATTAATCATATAAATGTAAAGATGAGAAGGAAATTCTTTTCAACATGCTGATTCCACCTGCTTACAAGAAGACTCAGATATGGCATGAATGTTACACTGAAGACTATAAATTAATAAACCATTGGCTCACTAGCATTTTTGATAGCTGCTTTCCAAACAAAGAAAACATGCCCACATTAAAAATAATCAAGCATTAAAAAAAAAAAGCATTCTAGTACTTCATACCCCATAAACATAACTGCAAGTTTCATTGGTTTCGAAATTCCTCACAGGAGTTAACTCCATGTAGGATCATTTGACCACTTGCTCATAGCTAAGCAAAAAGTTAAAGAACTATTGTCGGGTGGAAAAACCTGATCTCTAGAATCACAAGAGGTTAATGCCATCCTATGTAGAAATCTTAATTGCATTTAAGATGAAAAGGCACAAAATCTTGTGGAGAGGAGCAGGTCCCAAAAGCAAAAGATGAACAGTTAAAATATCCTTACTTCTCTTGGGACAGAGTATAAAATGTGAGTCAAATCATTGCATGATGGTTCCAACAAAGGTTCTCCACTGCAATTACGTTATGTGGCTAAAATGCTTCGCTGCTGCTGCCCGGAAAGTGTATTGAAGTCAAAGGCTGTTTATTATTCTATTTCCTCCATTTGAAAAATGTCATGACTTATTAACTTTGAAATCTGAAGAGTAAAAATGATTCTTAGATATTTTTTCTATCAGACTTCAAGCTAAAAGACATTTATGACTACAATGAACTCTTCAAAAACAAATTATCTACTAACAAAATTTAAGACTTTATTGCATAAGAAATTATTTTTTTGAGTTGAGTAAACTTGTTCACATTTGCTTATTGTTACTAAAGATATACATTTAATTGACTTAAGAAAAGACTCTGGGAGTGGTATGGAGCCAAGAAAAAAAGTCTGCATCTGAGATCAATTTCATTTAGAAATAAACAAATCATATTTAAATACTTCCTGGGTAATGGCAATTTTAACAAATTTTATGAACTTGTCCTAGGGTTTCCAACTATTTCTAAAATCCCAGTTTTTCCCCTTTGAGTATATTACATTAATTAATTTTCTGAGAATACTGTTAACATATTGCTTACAAAGAAAAGAAAGAAGTATTAGTTGATTAAATCAAGGCAACTAGTAAAATTAAAATAACTCCACCAACACTTTTGTGTGGGTTTTTTCTGTGTGAACATGTATATTTTCAATTGTCCTCTTGATACTCATGTTGACAAGTATTAACTGTAAGACCACTGCTCAAATCTTTTTAACTTATTTTTAAAGTTTTATCATATAGCCAACCAATTTTTTTATTTCTTGACAAGCAGCAAAATTGTCTTTGATTTTTATTGTAAAACTAAGTCTACCAGGCCATACTCAATCTTCATAGAATAAATGACAGTGAGATGCTGAAAGTTCTCCTCCATCTTAACCTCTATGATTCACTTTTTAAAGTCCATTGTCAAACTTTAAAAGTCATCCAGCCTCTGAAGTCACTGGCACCGGTTGGAATCCGTTCCCAACTTCACGTTCACTGTCATACTGATGCCTTGAAATCGACCATGGTTGGAGTGCTTATAACAGGCACATTGACAGACAGTACATATTGGGGCTTTATCTTCATTTCTTGAAAACCAGTTATTGAACATTTACAAACACATCACTGGGTTATTTATACATTGCTTTGCACCTAAATCACACACACATACACACACACACACACACACACACACGTTTGTTTCTCATCTTTTGGTGTGGCGATGAAACATAACTGGAAATGAGGTCACACACATTTTTGCGACAACACTGGCTGTCACATGTGCTGGCTGATTTTCAACTTTCTGCCTCTCTTGAGAAACCAGGTAGAATTGCTAATTATTGGAAAGTGCTTATCATGTACCTTTTCTAGGGCACTAGACACCTGCTTTTTTCACATCCCTCTTGGGACTGGTGTTTCGGTAGACAAAGATTCACGTTCTCAGTGGATGAGTCATTTTGTAAAAAGCATGGAAGTATGGAAGTATGCTCTGCTGCTCAATGCCTCCTTGCTCTCTGCCTGCACGCGGATGACAAGCTGATTGCTCTGAGACCAGGGCACCGTTCCTCTGAGCTTTGTCCCTGCTCAGTTTGCACCTGTTTGCTCACAAAGGAGCTGAATACCATCAGAAGGGAGCACCTATTCAGGTGGCAGATGAAAAGCACTTTTGGATTTCTGAGCCTTTGCTAATTTTCATGAATGAAGCTCTTTGTGTTGGTGGGCGTTTTCCCCCATAAACCATGCAGTCACCACTTGAAATGACTGAAAATACCCAAAGACTGTCTAGTCCAATCGACCATCCCTGCTAACCCTTGGGAACTAAAGAAAGTGCTTTACTGTCACTCGTTTGGCAAAATCCACAGATGGGCTTTATTGTGTGCTTTAAAGTACAAGGTTTAGCATTTAGTTTCATTATATATGCACACAGTACTCAGTAATGAGAGGGAACTGTTGAAATAAATAAGACTGATGGCTTATTCACTGATGCATGTTGATCACTTCTGACTGGCTGGCTGCATTATCCATCTCCAACAGGTTCTACTGCAGACATACTGCAAGAAGCTGACGTTCCCCTTCTATCAAATGAGAAATGTCAACAACAGATGCCAGAATATAACATTACGGAAAATATGGTGTGTGCAGGCTACGAAGCAGGAGGGGTAGATTCTTGTCAGGTAAATATGTAAAACTGCTCACCCTCAATTTCCAGAAAACATTGCTACATGATGAGTTCATCATTCAATATGACCAGGGAGTACAGAATTCACCAGGATCTTAAGTATTTCTTCTTTCACAAAACTGTGACTTTTCACTTTTAACTGTGGCTTATCTGAATAGTGCTCAGGATAGACCTAAGCGTTAGAAACAAAGTTAATTTTACCAACAAGAGTTACAAATCAGGCTAGGCATAAAATAAGAATGTGTCTAACTGCCGAGTATAATAGAGTGGGCCTACAGGGGTGGGTGGGCCGGAGAGGTACACCTTAGCTAGAAGTATTTACTTTCAAATTTCTAACTATTTAAAAAAAAAAAAAAAAAAAAGCCCTAATACAAACAAAACAGATCTGTAGGCCAATTTGGCCCATACTTCTCCCATTCTCAACCCTTATTCAGAGTCTGGTCCAGGTATCCAGTCACCCAAAATAATTTCTGGATGAAAAGCAACCTGGAAAGCATGTAAGATATTTGAAGGATCACTAGCTTTTGACTTGTGTGTATTTCAGAGAAAACTCTTACCCACAAAATAACCCTCATGGAAAATAAAATCATCTTACCACCTAGAAACAATGTAGCCATCTATCCATTCCATGAAATCTACATACACTCAACAAATAAAAAGTCAATTCTGCTAGGTTTTAGAATTCAATTAATTTTCAGGTACAGCATGAAATAACCATGAGAGCATGGATTCTACACTCAAACTACTTATCCCACCCTTGCTTTAAAAGTGACCAGTGAGAGTGGGCAAGTCACATAGGTATGATTAAATTGAGTTTTAAAAGAGGTAACACATGTAAGGTACTAAGTAGGCACTCAAAAAGAGTAAAAAATTTTACTGTAAGACTGGAAATAAATTTTGTGGCATGTTTTCTATATTTGAAAATTAATAAAATATTAATGCATTGACGTCTACTGGATTAGGTTAAATCTGATAACAGGATTGTGAGGGTTTGTCATGTCTGACTCTTTGTGACCCCATGGACTGTAGCCCGCCAGGCTCCTCTGTCCATGGAATTCTCCAGGCAAGAATACTGGAATGGGTAGACATTCCCTTCTCCAGGGGATCTTCCCAACCCGGGTATCAAACCCAGTTCTCCTGCATTGCAAGAGGATTCTTTACTATCTGAGCCACCAGGGAAGCCAATGTTTTCTATATTTGAAAATTAGTAAAATATTTATATCTCCTGGATTAGATTAAACATGATAGCAAGATTGAGCCAATGAGTAATTCACAAATGTAAATGTAGCAATTTATCCAGTGCAGAAGTGGCTTCACTTTGTTAACGTGTAAATAATTCGTTATATACATGAACATGTATTAATACACATGTCATAATAATCTGACTTGGTACAAGACTTTCTTAGACACTTAAGCTGGTAGATTTGTACATGTTCTTTAGTTGAGTCCATGTCTCACGTCATCTTAAATGTTCAACTTAGTTTTACATTTATTCTGCTTTGATGAACACTGCACATTCAAGATGAATAGGATTGCATTCTTGTTTAAAATTTATCTCTGATATCTACTTCCCTTTAAAATGAAAAGTGTGCTAAAGGTAAGATATATTGCCACTTAGAGGGAGATTTATATAATTATTGTTTAGGAGGGAAATCAGCAGTACAACTTCAATTAGAGTTAATGGGGGCTGTGTAGCAGACCCCTTCACACATGAGGTAGAAAGTATGACTGCTGATGCTATCAATGCTCGGGCTACATTAAGCCAGTAACTCATGCCAAATCTCTGAAATCTGTTTGGCTCTGGTTTCTCGAGAGTCAAGTATGTTATTCATTAGCAAGTAAGAAAGCTCCCACACAAGACAATTCTTTGTAACATAATATTGTCATGATTGAGGAATTGATAATCTGGAGATTACATGATTTTCTTTTTTTGAGATACTATTTATTCAAGTGAATAGATTTTGTTAAAAGTGGGATCACATTCTAGTTAAAGCCACTCGATCTATACTAAGAGAGTTACATGATTTTCTTTGTTCAACTTTAATATTGTGTTAAACAGGAGGATTGATTAAACAAAGATACATTATTTTAAATTATACCTATGTTATTATTGGTACATCACTTAAGTTCTTCGAAACAGTATATTTTTCCCCTCTAGTGGTGAAGAATTTGTCTTATTAGTCATTCACACGTTCTTGAATATCTTCCAGTTTTCCAAAGGCTTGTGCTTGCTAGACAGTTGTTTGGCTTTTACGGCACCATGATTAGCTGTCAAAAGTGCCTGTAAAACTAGGTGAATGAAAGACAAAGAGCAAACCCGTTCCGCCAACTATTCTGAGTCTTATTCTATAAACTGGTTTTCAAAGTGTGGCCTCCGATCCAGATTAGCGTCACCCGAACACTTGTTATACGTGCAGATTCTTAGCTCTGCCAGAGAGCCACTGAGTCAAACTCTAGAGGTGGAAGTCCAGCAATGCATGTGTGAGCAATCACCCCCAGGGATTCTGATGCAACGCAAGGTTTAAGAACCACTACCCAAAACAAAAATGGTCACCAACCCTCATACTCAGATTCTGAGTCATAGAAGTTAGTGATTTTTTTTTTTTTTTTCACAAACGTAGCATCTCAGTGGAAACACACTTTAGATTAATACTTGATGTTCTGAAAATGAAACTTAAAGTCACTCAGTCGTGTCCGACTCTTTGCAACCCCATGGACTATACAGTCCATGGAATTCTCCAGGCCAGAGTACTAGAATGGGTAGCCTTTTCCTTCTCCAGGGGATCTTCTCAACTCGGAGATCAAACCCAGGTCTCCCACATTACAGGTGGATTCTTTACCAGCTGAGCCCTTCTGTTCTGAACCTTCACTCATATTTTTGAAGTAGTTACACACCTCAGAGATAATGGAAGAAGATTATACCTTCATTGAATAAATCAGAAAATAAAGGCAAAGGGAAATTACACAGTGGAACTGACAAGGTGCAGTTCGATGATGGGAAGAAATAGACCCAGACGTAGGTCTCTCAACCAGACGGACCACCCAGCTGTTTGGCCTCAAGCCTGCTGGTGGATTCTTCAAATAATTGCAAATGAGCCAGTCTCTGCTGGGTAATTTAAAATCCGTGTTCATGTAATCAGCATCTGGATTCTACTATCTATTAAAAAATTATTTTGAAAATATGAAGAAAACCAAATGAGTCCTTTTGAAAGTACCCAGAGTTGGAGTTTATTTTTACTAATTTCTAAGTCACATATCACATAGAGTCAGTATTTATTCTTATCTTGAATTGACACTGTTCCATAAATATTTCTAAACCTATATTAAGGACTAGGGTTGAGGATGTAGAAGTATTAATCAAATCACAAGCTCTGCCTTCAAACAACTTGAGCGCATTTTTTACATCTAGAAAAGAAGTTAACCAGTGGTTGGCAATATGACTTATGCTCCTCTGCACCCAGGAGAGAAAAGGTGATTTTCTAAATACATTTTTTCCCCTTAAATGTAGGCTCCAAAGGTAATCAAGAATCAGGCAAAAAAATCTCTCAGGATAATTTTTTAAATAAGCTTGTGTGAAATAGTCTATTGTACCAGTGATTTCAACCAGAGTATACAGGGCTTTACATTCCTTCATAGATATAAAAAAGGAAAGACTAATTAAAATAGGTTTCACCATTAATGTGGGAAAATATTTGTCAATTCTCTGTCATTAAATAATGGTACTATACATTTGCATTATATTCCTTTGCATTACACAGGAACAATCACATGTAAATAAACTATGTAACTAACTAGGAGTTGCTGTAATTAATATTTATAAAAATTATAGACATTTCAATTAAAATCTCAGATGAAAACATGTGTACCTGTCACTAGAAATTATGTGTGCCTATTTCCATTGAAATATTATTTTTTCAAATCTGATTGTGCTTGTCTAATACCAGAAAAGGTAATGCTACTCAAGAGAACTAAAATCAATTTTATGTGTCGGTTCTTAGTCATCCTAAAGCACATAATGTGGAATAACTGTCTTTCCACAAAGTCCCTCATAATACTTAGGATAAATTAATATCTCCTTTAATAAAAAGATTCACTTTTAACATATATTTTGATTGGGATGCTCTCAGAGTTGTGCCTTAGAAAGTTTCCCTGTTGTTTAGTCCCTAAGTCATGTCTAATTGTTTGAGACCCCATGGAATGTAGCCCACCAGGCTCCTCTGTCCATGGGATTTCCCAGGAAGTTTCTTGGTACCCATTAAAATGCCATAATTACAGTAAGGGAATGCTTGCTATAAAAGTGAATCATAAAAAATTACACACAAATTTTGTTTTAGTTGTCATAGTTTCTGTGTCCTTACTGACCAGCTAAAGGTTCTCATTCTTGATCTAGTGTGACAATGAGACTGTTTATAGATGACTTGCAATGAAACCATATTTTTGATCTTCAGTTTTGGATTTATTTGCTAAATGATTATATACATATTTATACCGATTGACCACACATCGATGATTTTCTTTGGCAATTTACTCTTCAGGGGGATTCAGGCGGACCACTCATGTGCCAAGAAAACAACAGATGGTTCCTGGCTGGCGTGACATCATTTGGATACCAGTGCGCACTGCCCAATCGCCCCGGGGTGTACGCCCGGGTCCCAAGGTTCACAGAGTGGATACAAAGTTTTTTACATTAGAGTGTTTCCAAGAGCAAAGACGAAAAGCAGCCAGTTTTCCCATTTCACTTTAAGAAGCATGGAAATTGAGAGTTTTTTTTTAAATCATTTATAAAAGTCTTGATTCTTACCTAAGCCACTGAAATGCTACAGGAAAAAAAAAAAAGCAAAAGCTAATCTTTACAATACAAAGTAACTATAAAATAATAAATTCTGATTTTATTGTAAGCAGTTATTCTTTCACAGACATCATTATTTCCTTTGTTCTTAATCATTATTTTTATCATACTCTCTTATTTAAAGAAATGTTATTTTAAAGCATGTAATATAATGTTTGAGCAAAATTAGGAAGAGAAGGGAAATAAACTTTTACACAAAGTATGGTATTATTTGAAATAGATTGCTATAAGTTATCTAATTCCAGGATAGGTCACTATTATCAGCATCTCAATCATCTTGCTGTTTTTCTATCCAAATGCATTTTCAATCCATCTTGAGCACATCCCTAATATTTTCCCCATAATAAAATATATTTATTGTAAGCTCATGTCACAAGCCTGGACTAAACTGGTTGTACAATCCTCTCAAATAAGCTAGTTAAACAGCAAACTAGCACCAATCTATATATTGCCCTTGCATCAAAATAAAAGCTGAACTGATTAACATTGTCATTCTCTCATCAGATCATTTTTACTTGGATTATTATACCACAGTCCATTTATTTCAAGCTGGCATTTTTCTGGGTTTCCAAAAAGTTATCAGTCATATCAAAGAGATACAAGTATTACAAACGTGGGTTTTCTCTGACAGATGTGTTTATTGTGGGTATTTCTAACATGGCCAAAGCTTATTTAGACACAGCTGAATTGCCCATTACAAGGCCAAAAATGTAGAATAAATGAATTTGTTCTGCAGCTTTAATCTCTTGGATCACTTCCAAAGTAGAAACTTCAATTTAGCTCACCCCAAAAAAATCTACTGATTTATTCAGAAAGAAAAAAATTATACAAATTAATACACACACACACACACACACACACACACACACACATTCTTACATGGGTCTACATGGTCCAAAGTAATAGAAAAGTTTCAAGCAGTTGAAAGAAGAGATCCATCAGTTCATACCAGTTTTGTGGGAGAAAGGAGGCGTGGACTAGACCTGAGTGCATAGTTGTTACTGATGGACTAAAAAGGCAGTGGGGACCACCATGTAGGTGGGAGTGACCCTGAAAGTTCAGAGAGAAGGGACAGTAGACAATCATGAACTATCCTAGCAAAAGGAGTTCTCTCTGGGCAATGGTCAGAGAAAGGGAAAACAGTGTCACAACAAGAAGATATGGCCAGATGATTGCGGACTACAAATTCATGGAATTTATTATTAGAACAAAAATTGGGAGTCCTTGAACACACTATTCTTTTTAAGACCTTTCCAATGACCTGCTCCTAATAGAAAGGATGAAGTGATTAGAAAAGATGGCACATCAAGGGTAGAGTGTGTTATTTGATTTTATTCCCCAAATATTGTTCCACAAATGTTTCACCTGCATTTCAATGTTCTGAAAATGACAACAGATATACCACAGACTCCTTTTTATTTCTCAAAGGTCAGCTTTAGAAACCCTTAGGACAGTCACTCTTTACCATCTTCTATTAAGAGAGAAGTTCCTTATCCCATCCCTAGGAACTTATGGGTTTAGTAATTGATACCAGACGAGTAATCCAGGTCTGGAACAAGATAAAAAGCAAAACCAAGTCCCTTCCCCATTGCTTTGCTTCTCCCTCCCTGCAGCTGCTCCAGCTGTGGGTGGCACAGACATTGGGGAAAGCCCAGGTCTCCCTCCATCCAGTCCGGACTGAAGGAAGTAATGCATGGTGGGAGCTTGGAGGAAAGAGGTGGGTCTCAGCAGCTGGTCTCCTATTCTGCCCAGAAAGATGGGTCTCCAAGAAAGGAAAGAGGAGTGTTAAATGTGAGCAGCTGTAAGCTTAGAAGGCAGCTGCCCATTTCCTCAGTCTCTAAGCAGCTGAAAACGGACCACTGCCCACTAATTTCTATTTTCTCTCTTAATTTTACCAACCAACTGGAGTTGTGAATTCCCACAATGAAAGCACTTTCATTATCTAATTGAAAAGATGAGGTTTAGAACACCCTGCAACTGTAACTTCCATTCTTACCACACTTGAACAGTCATTTGTTTCCATGCATGATTGCAAACACATCTGTACTTTGTTCATGTAAGAGATTTAGACAGCACCAATGATCATTCTTCAGAAACAAGAACTTTTTATTTGGTTAAAAGGAGCACAGAGACATTTGAAGACCAGAGAGTTACATCTCTCTCTTGAGAGGAAGGAGCCACAAGCATTGAAGAAACTAGAAGATAGTACAGAGCCGCTCCAATTTATTCTCCCAGCCAAGACCTGGACAGGGAACACATGATCACTGACGCCTACAAACACATTTTTACACTATTTCAGTTTCTTTCCTCGTGGAAATGTCAACGTGCTGTGCTTAACTCCACACTCATGGTGACCACTCAACTAGTCCCAACTCTTAAACCCCCTTATACGCTGATAGAGGCTAAACAGAGCCAGGAAAGATCTTAACCAAACTCTGCAGGAGTTTGCCTCCAGAGTCAACACCAGAACCATCTTTGCTTTGCTGGCAAGAGAGGGACTGATTTCAGAACCCTCGGAGAGCTACTTGTGGTTATATAGGCAACATGTGAGGACATTATCTTGATTGTGTATGCCACCATTTTTTGTTCTAGATTGAGTATATTATTGTTTATACAGCTATTTAACAAAGTTATTACAAAATCTGTTGAACTTTAAATTCAAAATAATTGTAAGGCACATGTCTTGCACAATTGAAATTAGACAATTCTTGCCTCTAAGTAAAATATTTGAGTAGATACCACGGTTAATGAAATAACTTCTTATTTCTGAAGACATTTCCTAAACTTCCTCTGACCCAAAGCAGAGAAACTAAAAGAAGATGAGCCATTTCTAGAAAATGAAATTTTTTCTACAGTAATAGATGTATGTGGGTGTGAATTCAGTTGACAACAGCGATACATTTCTTTAATCAAAACAGCATGTATTGAAAAATGAGACATCATAAAAATAAATACTAGTACAGTCCATTCTATCAAACACTCATGTAAGGGAAAAATATTTTGCACACTGTAAATTTCAATGCAATTTACATTACATTAACTAGATTACAACTTATGAAAGGTGAAAGAGACAAAGATAATGGCTTCCAGTGAACACATTGTTCTGATGTGTTCACAGCCATTTTATCTGCATCTTATCCATCCCATTGACTTGAAGTTTGGGTGCATCCTTTAGCAAAATAAGCATGTCTCACTCCATGATTAGCACAGCATTATTTTATAAATGAGATAATGAACATATAAAAATTATTTTAGTATTTGCCTCAAGGGGGAGCTTACAGTTCATCTTGCACATCCTTTGAGATTTCAAGCCATTCCAAGCTAATGTTCTGATGCCATTCCTTATACAGATACAGAATTATAAAACTCTGTTTTCTTTTCTGGAGCCAGGTCAATGGGTTACTAGACTTCCATGCCGCTTTCTTTCCTGGCGCTTTTTGAAATCCACAGTGTGGACTGGTTTGGGCTCGTTTTGGTTCTTCCTTTACTGAAAAACAGAAGAAACAAATTCAATGTCTGAGACTTCTCATCACACTGGGCATGTCCTGGTCCAAATGGAGCTTCGTCAGACTTCTTATAAAAGTATCTTTCTTCTCTCATCAGATTTTTTCATTCCTACAAAAAATTCTGGATTATTCCAGTATGAGAAGAGGGTAAGCAGTTCATATAAGATAATGAAAAAAAAAAAAATCTCTCTCTGACCCTTCATATTTTAGAATTCAGACACATACACAAATATGTTTAACCCAGTTTCAAAATGTTTATTGTAATCACCAATGAATCTTCATTTTCTTTGATCAAATATTTTTCTAATTTTGCTTTTTGAATAATCTTCCTTTAACATAGGATGTACATTAATGTCAAATCATCAAAACAGTGCTTTTGTCCTACATATAAAACCTGTCTTATCCCCTCCACCCATCACTTTTTTTCTGTCCTATAGTTAAGTCATTTAATTCCCCAAAGGTTAACTTTGCTATAGTTTCTGAAACAAAGGCAATTCAATGCAGATTCAGGCCTGAGAGAGTTCCTCTAGCTCTCAGGCTGACCTGCCCTCCACCCTGTCCCTCAAGCTGTGATGTCTTCTAAAGTGAAAAGTGAAAGTGTTATTCAGTCATATCCGACTCTAGGCAGCCCCATGGATCGCAGCCCAGCAGGCTGCTCTGTCCATGGAGTTCCTCAGGCAAGAATCCTGGAGTGGGTAGCCATTCCCTTCTTCAGGGGATGTCTTCTAAGTTTTTCTATAAAGTGGCCACTTCTAAGACTCCTGCAAAAGTGACTGTTCCTGAGTTTCTCTCTTCCTGAGTTGAAGAGAAGTCAGCCTCTCCGAGATACTTAGCAAGATTGAGGCTCTTTTTGATCCAGTTTCCTGGAAATGAGCCCTCACCTAGATAACTAACCCTGGTGGTCCCTGTTATTTCTTCTGTACTTCCTTGCTCCTACAGACGCTTCCTTCAGTAGCATCTGCCTCCACCCCATGCCCAGGCATCATTCCTCCTACCCCATCCCATTCAGTCTCTGTCTACGAGACACTGCGCTGCTGAATTCCTTCAAAGAAAGAGTGTTTCTAAACAAGCCTGAGCCATGGAATTTCATAATATTACTTAATTGACTTCAATTTAACTGTAAATTTATTGCTAACAGATGATTGTATCTAAATGATACATTTTGGAGATGTGCATCCAATTAAGTAAGATCGACACATCTCTACCTAGGAAGTTATCTTACATGAATGGAAAATAAGCCAAGCAAAGTTGATGAAAAACATGAAATTCTCCTAAATAGTTAAAACAAAAGGGCGGTTAAGTTATTAATGTGGCTTTGGGGTAGCATTAGTATTTATGTGATCTAAGAGTTACCATGGGTTAAGGAAATAAGGCTTCTTATTTTGAACATGACATGGAATGACAGAAGCCCTCATGTGTACCCAACTGGAATTTAAACTTTTGCAAGGCACTCAGATGACAACGGATTGGAGTCTTTGATG